CCTGCTGAAATCCAGCTACACCCGGGCTGGAAGGTGGAAGCTGCTCTTCTCCAGGAAGGCTACACAAGCACGTGGGGAGAAAAGGAGGAACGTGTCGAGCTGAAAACAGAGGAAGCTTGCTACAGGTGGAATAAGAACATCCTGAATGCATCTGGTCCCGACGCTGTGGCTTTTCACCCTTCCCTCTTGCAAAAAGGGCCAGGGAATCCTTATTACCACGAGAGGATGGGGCCTTAGTCTTATGGCCCATCTCTTCTTGCAGGGCTAATGCCCCTTAATACGACGCTGTGATGCAGGAAGACTACCGCCAGCCAGTGCCCCCACGTCTTCCACAACAGGTGAAATGACATTCTGGAAGACGAGACCTTTAAACCGGGGCTGCTGTCAAGGACAAATACATCTGGAACCAAGCTAGCTTAAGGGCCTTGCGCTGACCTAGATCTGCAAGTGCATTAAGTGGCATCAATAACCAGCTGAACAGGGCTAATTGGAGGGCTTCTGCTAGAAAGGGAGAGACCGACGGTTTTCATTTAAAAGACGGAGCTTCCAGATGTTTGCAAAATGAAAGCCGCTATGAGCATCAGTCCGGTCCCCCCGGCCGCCCTCTGGCTTTTGATTATGACAACCACCCTTAAAAGCACAAGGGGTAGGGCAGTCAAGTGCAGAATAAAAATGCCAATTAAGGGACTTTTCTTTCACCTCAACGATCATCACCATATTTTCTGTCTGCAAATCCATTGCCCGCTCTGGTTACGCATAACCCGCAGACTAGGATCGAAAATTCAGAGAAAAGCGCTCCTATTTTGCAGAATCCGTTGAACTCGGCATTTGGCAGGCTTCACGTTTAATCATCAGTTTCGCCGCTGACTCGTAGTCAGCAACTCCGTTTCCTCTGCTGTTTGTTTGGGTCTTTCCCACAGCAACAAAAGGACCAGAAATCTTTAAAATTAGAGGAAAATGTGATCGTAAAACCACAAAAACCAACAGGGGAACTCAGGGGCAGGTGGAGTATCTGGACCCGTTTCTAACTCGTTCCTTTACGACTCGCTGGCTCTTTGTTCGGCATCGTGGCTTTAAACGCGCTGTGTGAGACAGCTTTGGACGGTCGCGAGAGAGCAGCATTTTTAAGGGAGCACGAAGGGAAGGGGCGGACGGCCAGGAAACAGGGCAAGGTAAGCTCTGAGAAGGCCCCGAGCGTGGGGATCCGCTTGCAAGAAGCTCGGTGGCAACATAATAATCCAGTCCCCGAAACAAACAGCAAACCAGAAGAGATCTCCACAAAGTTACCTGGGTGCAATCGTGCCTTTAGGGTCTCCGAACCCCATCCCCTACCCCAGGGAGTGTTGCCCTACCCAGCGGCACCAGCATCTTGCTCTGCTGATGCGCCAGAGAAAACATATGATCAGAAACGAGAGCCAGGCAGGTCGACGGGAACAAGGGACCCGACATCCACAGCCTCCTTCCAACCGGGAAGGGAGCACCAGGCAGCTGTCCTAACAGTCTTATTCACAGCCCTTGATGGGATGCAGGTCCAGACGCCTCTGGCTGGATAAGAGATGTGGGCAGCTCCAAGACCTGTTTTCTGTCAAGCCGGTTGAAGAGTTTCGCTCGCAGACATCACCCTCGTTAGAGCCAACTGCCAGAGCGCGTGCTTAAGGCAAGCCAACGGGGGAGCGAGCGCAGTCATGGACACGTCCACGGGGGAAGAGTCCTGGCGGGTTTGCATAGCCTGAATGATACGCGACGGTGGCAAATGTGTTACTGAGACCACGCGTTTTCCGCTGCCTCGGTCAGTCGGCGCGCGCCGGGTCTGTAGGAATTGGTGGCTGCCGACAGACGTGTACTTGGAGGTCAGAGGCGAGGCCGTTTAGGCAGGGGGAGGACAAAGCTGGACTTGGAGAGTTAACCGTATCAGCAGAAATGGTGGGCTTTGAAGAGAGTCTGAAAGCATCTGGGATTACTGTCACGGGAAAAGGGGCTCAACTGGGATTTTAAACGAGTCAACAGAAAGCTCAATGACGGAGAGGAAAAATGGTCTTTTTGGCAATGAAACTCCTACGATTCCTGTTCCCGAGACACGGCTGCCATCTTACGTGACCCTTGGACAGGTTGCCTACCGAACCGGCACCTCGATTTCCCTGGCTAGCAAATGAGGACAACCCTTTCCTACTTTATACGAGTGCTGGACTGATCGCCATCAGGGCAGCACTCTGGCGTTATCTGTTCAATGAGATGATTTCCTTTACCTTGGTGTCTATGCACCCAACAATCTTCTAATGGACTTATCCTCAGTGGCGCAGGTAGGGCTGGACTAGTCCTCTTCCTTTTACAAACCAGCAACGGAGGCACAGAGAGACTGAAAATTAGTGGGCCTCAAGACTCAGAAACCACTTCACACATTTGGCCTTATAGGACTTACCAAGGGAAGTCTGTGATGGAGCAAAAGACCTGAACCCGGGGCTCCCGAGTCACAGACTAGTGCCCCGACTGCTGGACCATCCTTTCCTTCTTTGGATACTTAGGAGAGAAACACTCTCTCACTGCCCGTCCAACAGAGCAATTCATAATGCATATAACCAACCCTCAGGGCGGGGAGCTGAGAACTGCTGTAGGGTATCCTATTCACTTCAACTCCAGATACTCCACTTGCTTCATTTCTACTGGCATCTAGCAACACTGCACTGGAAGCCATGAAATATGCTGTTTCGGCAAGTACCATAATAGGCCTGGCCCATGCAGACACAACCAGGCCGTATCAAAGTAGTCATCTCTATACCAACAACCCAAGCAAAAGCCCAGGTCACACCTGAAATTTTAATACTTCAATCCATAAAAATGGCAATTAATGCTGTCCAATCTACACGCATCACAATTATTAAATATCGGCTGATTAGTTTAAGACATAAGGGATAAATTACAGGATTACTAAACCTCAGTAAATATCTCTGGGGGAGAGAAAAAAAAAAAAATCAACTGTTAGATGTCTACTAAGGGTCTCGTTGAAACCTAACTGTCAAGATGCCTTTCCGTTTCAAGCCCACCCTTGCTGAAAGCACATCTGGAAAAGCTGACAGGTAGTTGCATACCTTGGCACGTGTCAAACACGAGTCTCTCGCGTGTCACGCTGAGATGTGCTTGACCACCGGGCTGTCAGTCAGACCAACGCGACTCAAACAGGGAGACGCGCCACAAACACCAACAGCACAGGAAGCGCGGAGAGGCGGGCGAGGAAGGCTGGCCCTTGGAAACCTACAGACCGCCCTTCAGTACAGACCCCCCTGGCCAACCTCAGCGCCCCCTGCCGTGGGGAGCAACACTGCGGTCCATTCAAGTTGATCTTCTTCCAGTCATGGTGAGTCTCATGAGCCCAAGGGATGCTGAACAACTGGGTCCATTTAAAGTAAACCCTTCCCACAAACAATGGTATCAGAGGACTAGTTCCCCCCACCCAGCCCCCCCAAAAACCAGACAGTGCCCCTAACACCCCACTAACATCTCGAGCAATATGCTTCTCGAGACGGTTCACCGCTCCAGGCACCGAGAGCAAACACCACGGCACTAGGAGGGGACATGCTATTTCTTTTCAGCCTTAGTGGGGAACGGGGGTCTGGGAGCAAGCTCATCTCTCCTCTGCTCCAGCCCTAATAGATAACCTGACATTTAAAATAAGACTTTATTGCCATGTACTTACATTTTAATGTTTTCATGGTACTGCCTGGTGTCTGAAGGCTGGTTGTATAATGGCTGAAATAAATAAGAAAAATGAAGGCATAAATGGTATAGTCTGACATTTAGAAACTTAAACCTGTCAGAAACACTCCGGCATCAGCGTGGGCTCCCGTCTTGCAGACAGAGCGGGAGAGAGGGGGCCCTGCGTCGCCCGTTCTGCTCCATGCCGAGAGCCGTCTCCCGCAGCTGCCCCCTCTCCGCCTCCCTTCCCCGCGCACTGCTCCTCGGCTTTGATACCGGAGAGGGGCTGCCGCCTCGCACACACGCGGCCGCACTGCCTGAGTCACAGCGCGACCGAGAGCAGCCCGTGGGAGGCAGGCAGACTTCAGCCGAGCTGGCTCCGAAACAGGCAATTTTGCTGTGTAATTCACATAAACGCCGGCCGTGGCTGGGGAGCTGGCTGTTATTCCCTCGGTGAAGCCGCGCGCACCTTGGAACATATGACACGGGGGAGGAGAGGGGAAGGGGGGGGCGGCACAGTCTGTGTGCTGCAAGTTGTTATGTCTATGCTGCAAAAGCCTGCCTTTGCCTCCGCGGGAGCCGGAGCAAGATCCCGAATCTAGCCAGCCACCTGGGACACAGATCCCGGCGCTCGGCAGCTCGCGTGGCTCACTGCTGCAGTATCCCAGCACCCCGCGAGCCTCGAGCCTGTGTGTCCGCTCTGGACACCCCTGGCGGGGGGGACAGCACGCTCATCTTGGTTATGCACAGGGAACCCGCGGCACAGACAGAGCGACGTGCCCAAGGTCACGCGGGGAAGTTGTGGCAGAGCAAAAGACTCAACCTGCAGCTCTGCAGGTCTGGAACGGACCCGAATTGTTGGGGCGCTCTTCCTCTCCGGCCCCCAGAGAGGCGGCACGTGCCTAGGGCATGCGAATGAGAGTCAGGGGGCCTGGCATCTGTGCGGCAGCCCATCTGACCTGCGTGGAGAAAATGTGGGTGGAAGCAGCTACTGCAGGAGGATCAACTGTCAGCCTGCAAGTCCTCTTGTTTGATTAGTGGCCATGCCAGGCACTGCTGCTCTTCACCCAGGGGAACAGCACTTCTCCAAAGGGGAACTGCAGCAAGTCATGCCCTACTTCAGGTGTCACCAGACTTTAAGCAAGAGCCATATGGAGTCAAGGCCAGAGCAATGGCCCCCACCAGTTACTAGCTGGCTTTGGCACCACACAGGACCAAGATTTCCAGTCCACATTTGGATTCCAGCGTCTGCCAAGTTTTGCATTTTTTTTTTTTTTTTTTTTTTAAACAGTGCATTGTTGGCTGACGCTCACCTCACCTGTCTTATCAGCTCCTGATGGGATCAAAAAGATACACGAGCTCCTTGAACCTTTCTCTAGGTCCCCAGCACCCTCCTGCCTTCAGCACGCTCTGCCTGGTGCCCCCAAACACCCTCCCTTGCTCCAGTAGCATCCCAAAACCACACTTCTTTTAAGGACTAGGCTGCAGCTCAGAAAAAGGGATTAAAAGTCCCCCCACATTTCAGCATTAATTCTGGGACCTGCGGGTTCCCAGACCTGAGGCAGCTCTATAGTGAGAACAGTGCTTCATAGATGTCATAGACATCTGGGCTGGAAGGGACCTCGGGAGATCAAGTCCAGCCCCTGCCCCAAGGGCAGGAAGTCAGCAGGGGTCAAAGGATCCCAGCAAGATGAGCATCCAAATGCTGAGCTGATCCAAGGAACAGCACCCAGGTCTGAAGCCCAAATCCTCTCCTCTCCCATCCGCCAGCACCGATTAGCCAGAGGGTGGTGGGAACAACTCCCTGCAAGCCTGTACTGCATCTTCACCCCGTTCCCTAACTCTCATTCTGCCTCTGGCTGCCAGAGTCCTACCTAGGCCCTAGCATGACTGAGGCACCAAGCCCTTACCAATTGGGAGGACCTGACTTTTTGCATTTGACAAACTGGAAGGTCAAGCTGGGATAAACAGGGCACAGGGAGTCCTACTGGAGCTGTGGAGGTTGGTGGCACACGCCAATGGCTAGGCAATCCCAATACAATAGGTGGGTGCAGCACCCAACACCAGGCCCCGTGCCGTTGTCTTCTACAGCTCCGCTTCTTATTATTCCTCCTTTTGTCACATTCCTGGATGTCCCCCTTGTCGGGTCGTTCCAGGCATGGAGGAGCAGGGTAGGCCCTCGTTGCTTGATCCAAGCCCTGATGAACAACTGGCCAGGGCTTTGCTGAATGCACTGCATGTGGCACTGTACAGAGTCATTCTTCCTGTGCAACAGGACCTTTGCCAGTGGGGTGGGTCATTCCTCCTACTTGGCTGGTGTACGACAAACTCTGGCAACAGACTTTCATTTTTGCTAATTAAAATCAATGCTAAGAAATTCACATATTAGCCGGGGCCAGGCCAGAGAGAGGATGCAAAGGGAAAACTGGCAGAGCTGCAAGAGCCGGAGGTACAGCAGAGGATCCCGGGGGCGGGTGGCACCAGAGACGACTGAGCTCAGGACCCAAACCCGAGAGGTGTTTCTAGCCACCAGCCAGATTCGAGAGCTCAGGGCAGAGCCTGCACGTGCATCTCAAATGGTGTCAATAAAAGCAGCTTTGGCTCAACCACAGCAGCAACTGGTCGCCTGACGAACGCAGCCTCCGTCTAACCGCAGAGACGCTGTCCAACTTTGCAGGCGCTGCGTCCAGAAGCTGTTGCCGAACCATCTGCGAGCAATTTCACAGCTGTGGCAGAACGGGATCAAACAGCCAGAATGCATGACGGATGGCCGACAGTCCCAGCCGACAACCCAAGCACGATTAAACGCAAGCCAGCCATGCTGCCCCTCCATAGGAATGTGGTCGAGGAGACTTTGATCTCTAACGAGCAGGGCAATAAGGAGGAGACGGGAGGCTGGCTTAGCTTGTGTTTACCAGACTCCCCATCCTCCAGCCCTTGTAAGGCTCAGGATAATGGCAGATCTAATGGCTCATCTTGCAGCCCTCAATGTGGGTCCCTGCAGCCCCTACCTCGCAGACCTCCTCGCTCAATGGTTAGACACTGGTGTTGGCTGTCTGTCCTGGAAGCTTCTTTTCAAAGATGCGGCCTTCATTTAAAACTGGCCCTTTCCCTATTCTGCTCTCTTGTTACACGGCAGCGCTGGTACACCCCCCCTATTATCGCCTCACCAGGAAGGTTGGTGCACAAGGTGTAAGACTTACAGCAGGAGATGGACAGAGGGACTGTTTCTACATGCATGTCCGACTGACCCATCCCCGCGGCAGCTGGGTGTGAAGGTGCCACTTGCACCTGCGTCGCAGAAGTCACCGTACTCGGTTCACAGCTTCCCGCAGCAGAACATACGTCTCTCCTAGGAAGACCCAAACACACTTGGGACAGCTACCTAATCAATGAAGGTCACAGCAGCTGCTGTCAGCACTGATGACTTGGGTCATGATACCAGAGTACCAGGGAATACCAGGCAAGCTGTGCCTCCTACTTGTTCAAGCCCCAGTTCAGACCCTTCCAGCCTGGGAGGTGCCAGTGGACAGGCATCTGTCCTGGAAAGGCCTAGATGCAAGAGCAGGGGAAGGCAATTCCTAGGAAGAGGAAGCCAGAGCAGTGGCTCTGAAGAGTCGAAGCAGCACATGCTGCCCAATCAATGACAACACCCAAGAGCCACTTGGCCTGACCCAGTACACATAGGCAGTTTGCTCCTGCAGGACGGCTGCAGGGACCCCAGTGAAGGGCAAGAACATGCTTCGAGAAAGGAAGGTGTTTTCCTCCGATCTCCATTTATGCGAGCGGACTGGGACGTGATGAGTCATGTCAACAGGCTGCACTGGGGGCGAGAGGTGGCTGGTGACTGCTCCTTGCGGGCTGTGGCCCAGTCTTGCGTGCACACACGCTGCAGGCACATCGGTTCAAGTCATCTCCTGTGCTGCCTCCTAAAAAATCTGCGCTAACGGCTCGGACTGCTAAGTGTTAACAACATCCTGTTCTTCTGGGGCTTAAAAGAAACCTGCATACTAAGAAACAGGGAAGGCTAAAAATCCCAGCACCAACTTTAAAAATACCCATTCATCACCGTATGCTCGCAGGCTAGGGAAAATGAGAATGCAGCGGAGCCAGTACAGAGAACAGCAATGTGCCAGCCGGGGTTGGCCTGGCCACAGCAAAGCCATGCTATGGGACAAATACAGGTTCACAGCAAAACTAGGGTATAGCAGGTATAGGCTGGTCTGTTAAGATTCAACCTCCTCTGCACTCATTTCCTGTCCTGCAGGGGGAATTCCACTGAACAGCACCGAGCAGCTGTAAAAATAGCTGCCTTCCCTATCTGCAAGAGAGAGCTCATTGTATGAGGACTGCACTACCAGCCTGCTGCGGGATCCAGAGGAGAAGATGCTTGTTAGCACTTGCAGATTTGGGTATGGGGAAGGGCTTTGCTTGCCCATCACTGTAAACAAGTTGGTCTTGGTTTAGCACACCACATTAGTGCGGTGCTTAGCTTTCCACCCTAGCTTAGACGCTAGTCAAGTCAATGAGAGAAGCAACGCACTGAACGGCTATGCTAAATCCGAGCCAAGTTGCTGCTGCAGTTTTTTCACCCTGCATGAAACATGCCTGCCAAGGACTCGCTCGGGGCTCAGCCCAAGTGAAAGCTTTCAGGACGGCACTCAGATTCACATTCTGAATCATCTTCCTGCCTAAAAAACAGCATGGTCTTGACCACAGTACCCAGCATCTCCACTTCTCAAACAGCCAAGCCATGCTCAATGCTAGACCAACTACTGATAAGGACATGGAGGCCCCTGCCCAGGTGCTGTGGAGGAGAGGGGTGGGATTTTCAGAGGCATCTATAGGAATTAGGTATCTGCCTGTGATTGCCTTTTAGTGGGACTGAGTCAGACCATGCTCTTTCTAGCTAGGAAAAAAATCACCCCCCACATTCCCAACTCGAGCAGCACCAAGGGCAGTGATTCTACGCGGGAGGATCACACAGCCGTCAACACTACAGGAGACAAGACACAGGGCCAGATTTTTTAAGATCAAGTCAACGGGAGTTAGGGAGATAGACTGTCAACACAAAGCACTCACTTAGCGCAGACACCTTCCAAAGGAAGCCTCGGGATGCACATTTCAATGAAGAGCACAAGAGAGTCTGAAAGCCCAGAATTAAGGGCCGAAAAGGTGAAAGTCGAAGGCTTGTCTCTGGTCGGGAGATTGACTCAACAGCTTTCGACTTCAAGGATGTACTGATAAGGATTCAAGATCCGTGGCTAAGTTCTTAGCTCTCCTACACCAAGTTACCTGCAAAACCCCTGGTGCACCTGAAGCTACGCCAAGGCCAGACGTGCTAGTCAATGCATTCAGCTGGTAAAATCCCTCTCCCTTTTCCACATCACAAATACACCAAAAAAACCCCAACCCCTTCTGCAAATCTGGATCTGTCTCTGATTGGTTCCCTTTACCTTAAATTGAAGGCAGAGTCAACATGGCCTTGCTGCCCAACGATTCACCCTTGGATCAGGAACAAAAGGGAAATCCAGCAGGTTTCAGTCAGCCCAGTGGAAAACAAGCACTCCCTGAAGATGGTCTAGCTTTGGATTCAACCTGCCATCACATGACACTACCAGCATGTCATCACCACTCTGTGGTTTGCTAATGCTTCTATAACCTCCTGCCTCTCTCAGTTGTGACTAACCAACATCCTCAGTGACCTCTCGCCTTGAAAAATCAGCACCTGGCAAGCTGCCTTGCTATCACAGAGACGCTTATCTGTCACCATCTCTGTTTGATGCAATAACCAGCTTACGCTTGAACAAATATTAGGGAGAGGTCCGCGACCTGGGCCCTGCTGGTAGCCACCCCTGCATGTGCGAGAAGGCAAGAATGTTTTGCAGCCTAAGAGCTGGCTCTGAGGACCCAGATCTGCAGGCCCACCGTTCTCCCAGGACCCCTGCCCATTCCTATGGCATCATGCTGGAAGCAGACCGAGTGTACCATATGCAAATGTGCACGAGTGTGCATGAAGAGCTCTGCACTCCTTCCTGGAGGAACTTCCTCTCCAATTGAGATGACTGAGTATTAATAGCATTGATTTGTATCGCGGTAACATGTGGCAGGGGCTGAGGTAGGACGGCTTCTCTCTCTGTGCAGCTGAATTTAAGGGAGCCTGTAAGAGACCCAAACAATCTCAGCAAAGCATGGCAGCACGTGCTTACTGGACGTCTTCCCTGGTACCGTACACCAGTGGTGGCAGTGAGGGCAGTGACCGTGCTCTGCACTGTACAGAAGGACAGGCCGGCTCTGAAAGCTTTGCTCGCAGAGAGAGAGGACAAGTGAACTTTTCAAAGATGTACCATACTTAAAAGAACAAAAAGCTTGACACGGCCAGTCTAAGGGGCCAGGAAACTTGGTGGTAGAGCTGCCCGATGATGGAGTTATGCCCACAATGCCGACGGGCAGCTCCCCTTGCTGATAGAGGAGGTGAGCTGAGGTGTGCAGATGCGATCCCCCGTCCCCCAGGGATGCCCGCCTTCTGCAAACAAGGGAGACTCTCACTACGCTCAACAAAAAAACCCTCGTGAATTCTGAGTGGCAGGGAAAGCCCCAGAGCCACGTTCCCCAGGGATGCTCCTCCAGCAGAAACCCAGCGCCTCCCTTTCCCCCGCAGGCTTTCCCTTGAAGGACCCCGCTAGCTACAGCGTTTGTCTGGGGGCAGTCAGCAGCTTGCAAGAAATGCTCTGCGAGACCCAGGATCGAGCCCTCCAGCTGCCCCTTTCCATAGTGTGGAGGGAGTACTACTGGGAGGACAAGGGAGGTTCGCTCTAGGGTGCCCTCCCCGGTGAAGTGACCCCTGCGAGCCACGTGCACCCCTCAGGGAGGGAGGTTCCCTGCTATTTGCTGTACGTGCTTGCTGGGGGAAAGGAGGAGTCAAGCTGGGGGAGGTGAAGGAGCAGCTGAAGTCGGTGATTACAGTTCCCAGAGGTGCGAGGGGTGCCTGGGCGGGACGGGCAGGACTCTGGCCGGGTCCAAGAATGATCAGTGCCAGGTCACTCCAACCCAGAACTGCTTCCATCCCCGCAACACGCTCTGCCGATGCTCCCCCCACCCGGTTATGAAAGCACTCGTGCACTTTGCAGAGGGGATCTTCCACACACAGGCTCACTGAGGCACCAAATACATGGACTCAGTCCCCGCTGCTCTGCCACAGGGGGCGAGAACACGAGCAGCGCGGATTTGCCCCTGCTCCTAAGGACGGTAAGGAAAGCAAGTTAAGGGTTACGGCTCACAGAGGAGTAGGTACACGTGTCTATGTCTCCGTCTTTCACGTCCACCCCATCCCCTCCTGGTACAGAGCCAGCTGGATGTCCTGGCCAGCAGAATGCTTCCTTCTTATGGGTCAGACATGCGCGCGCACACACGTACGCACAGATGTGCCTGCCTCCCAGAGACCTCTCCACACCTGGCTGCCGTCCAGCCCCACCCCGTATCAGGAGATAAGACTTACCAGTTCCACTTGAGGGCCCAGTCCTTCCAGTATCCTGTGGGCAGCTTCTGCTTTTTTCTACAGAGAGGAAGGGGGGGGGAAGAGAAGGAAAGAAAAAGTTACGCTTCTCGTGGGTCACAATGCCAGCCCCATGTCTCGCTTTCCGAGCTGTCCAGAGGACTTCTGAAACAACGTGCACCGGAGAGCTCCCCCACCCCGGGAGGCAGGAGGAAGAGAATGAAGCCCAGATCTCTGGGGTCTGCAGCACGTGCCCCTGCAGGCGAGGGCGCCGGCGGCTACGTTATCACCCAGGGGGCAAGCCCTTGTCAAGCTCTTGGCAGGGGCGCTGAACGCTGGGACCACTCCCCGCCACGCCGGGGGCTCTCTCCGCAGCCCCGGTGCTTAGTCACTGGAGAGCCCTCCGTGCCGCCCTGCAACGGCTGAATCTCTTTCACTTTTCAAGCTGCTGGATTCAGTACAATTACCTCAACCCTATCACGGCGCGGAGGAGGGAGAGCGGGAGGGGGAGCAGAGAGGGAGAGAGATGCCCTTTCTAGGATTCGTTTCGTAAACATGTGATCGCTCCCCTCGGCTCCTCCGCTCCGCTCTCTTCCCCTTCCCCTCCCCACCACGAGACGCTTCCCCGGCCAAACTACCTAGCGCTTCTTATGAAAACAGGAGCACATGTCACAATGTGCTCAGTGGTTCCTAATTAAAAGTGGCCTGAAGAGAGACGTGGGTTCACTGCGAGAGTCTAAACACAGATGATATTTGCAG